GAACATCTTCTACAGTGTGTGTAAAAGTAACCCAAACATTTTGAGGAACGAGGGGAATGGTTATCTGTTATGGTATGGCTAAGATTATCTCAGTATATAAAACTTTATCCCAAGGACATTGTGTGTGTTGGGGTAGGTGGAGATGTTAGAGGATATTCTCATCTTTGCCTCTGTGGCCTCATAGTGTCTCCTTGAAGCCAGAAGGAGAAGAAAGGCCCAATGTGTTAACAGGTATTTGGAAATTGTCCTTGGTGTGCAGGGCATTCCATCTCCTGCTGGGATGTGGCAGGAGGTGTAGAGAGGAGGTCCTCATGGGGATTTCAGAGTTCCACTCATAGAGTATCCTAAAATGTCAATAAAAGACTCTTTATTCATAAATAACTGATATGCAGTAATTTATGTCTGTACATTTATCTCAAAGTCTGTAACCATCCAGTTTTTGCAAACTACATAAAACATCCAAACCGTCCATTTTGTTCAATACAATATAACACAGCTGTTTGGCATTACCAAATATATATGTATATATATTTATAGATATGTACATGTGCTGAAAAAGAAGCCAGTACAGCCTTTTCTAAGAAGTCCATCCAAGTATTTACTGTACAACATTCAGAATTTACATTGATAATACAAGGCACAAAAAGTGTGGTATGAAGCCAAGGCCATGCTTTATTCAAACTCTCTTCCGGCTTGCTTGCTCCTTCAGCCTCATGTCAAATTAAGTGTTCAGTTTTTGTTTTGTTTTGTTTTGTTTGGGTCAGCTTTGAACACATCAGATCTGAGGGTAGTATGGGGTTGAGATGTGAATGACTTGAAAGAACTATCCCCTCCCCCTTGCCCATGCACTTTCCCCAAATAAACAGCACGAAATAAAATGTTTTGAAATTCTTCCACACAGAAATGGAGGTAAACAATTACTGATATTTTTTGAGTTTGGGTAGAATATCCCAGTTTTCCTCTAACTACTTATATTTGCAGTGTTTCTAGGTCGATGCTTATTGGATTGCATGTACCAATTAGAAATTGCTATGAAGAATGGAAAATTTTAAGTCTTTATTCCAGTTTAAAAAAGGAGAAAATCATTTCCCTGACCAGAAAATTCCCACAGACTGAGTTTTTCCCACTTTCTTTTAGAGAAGTTTTGAATGAGAATTATCGACATTATCTAGGACAGGCTTAGTGTTTCTGATAGAAATTTTTTAGTTACCTTCTGATGAGGGGGATCTCCGTTTAGCATCATCATAGCTCACTGATAGAGGGATGTTACACTTATTAGATCTATTTTTGATTGTAATGTCTGTGTTTCAGTAATGGGGTCATAAGGCATGATTTTCTGCATACAAGTTCCCTTAGGTATCTTTCTCAGAACCACTGTTAAATCTACCATATCAAATTTTAAAGGAATTGTACAATTTGTTAAATTTTGGCATTTGTTTATAAATAACGCTTGAAATAGTGAAATATTTTGGGGGGTTAGCAAAATTTGGAACAAAAGGATATTTATTGTAATCATGCCTTTTGTAAAAGTATTTAACATGTTTCCATTCATGCAAAGAATGATATTAAATTTAGTGATAGATTTCATAATTTAAAGGTATAACTTTTTGAAAAGAGTTTACCTTCTGCCAAACTCAGTATTAGGGTTGGGGGAGGACATTTTTAAGCTTAGGCCTAAACATGAAGCTTACTGCCTGTTTTATCTTTGGGTTCAGATGGAGGGTGGGTTCTAAGACACGAAGTTTAATGTTGCTGTCTTAGACTCACTTCATGAGGACAGTCCAAATCCATGATCTTCACAGCAAAAGGAAAAAGCAAAGTAGCTGCTTCAAAAACCACAATTATTCTATGTGAGTTAAATTTCCTACTTCAGATCACAGTACTACACACTAGTGACTAACAAGCCAGGTCTGATTTCCATCCCCTTTTATCTTTTGAAAAAAAATACAGCAAACAGATGGCCACTGTGATTTTTGTGTACGACCCTGGAGTGGGGATGTGAGGAGTCCGTGGCAGACACTGGCTCTCCTAGAACTGCTTTTGCGAAAAACACCACACGCTGTCAATACAGCCAAACAGCTTTGTAACTGCAGCTTTTGAAAGAGTTTGGAAAGTAAAAACACAAAATATGCAACACATCTAAGATTAGTAACATTTTCACTTTGTGACATTTGACAAAATACATTTTTGCTTGTACTTCAGGAAAATTCTGTGCAGACAGAACAGTGGAAACTGCGGAAATGGTGGTCATCCAGCTTTTGGCTAAAGCATCAATTTTCAAATACAGCGTTATGGCAACTAACACCAAAAGGCTAGTAAAATTTTGTCACTATCTGTAGGACAACATTTTGCTCTCCCATTTGCTGTGGATGTCACCTCTGGTCCAGTCAATGGGAGTTACTAAGGATTCAAAACTTCGCAATGTTTCATGAGGAAAATTAATGAAAATGGGCCACACAATGGGCCAGAGAAGCACATTTCTCAGCTCCTTCCTTCATGGTTCCTGTAACCTTCACAGATCTAGAACAAAGACCTCTGAGAGAACTTCAGCTTCAACATATCTGGTAGCTATATTATTCAACGCCTTTACAGAGGGACTAAGAAATTGAGGAGAAAAATGGCAAAAAGGAAAGACAAAATTACATTGAAAGATCTTATGACATTTTGAAATTCACAAGTAGTTTTGGCCAGAAGTTTGGCAAGTGAAGAATACTATCTAATCTAAAACCAATTATATCATTTTAATATTCTAGCTTTGCTTATCAATCTTACTGTTGAGAATTTCTGTTAGGGAAAAAAGTTGCAATAAATCTAGAACTTTCAATGACATCCCCTCTCAAAGTCAATCGAAAGAAAAACATAAGGACCACGGCAAAGGATAACACTTGTGACTGAGATAAAAATAATTAAAAAAGGAGAAAGGTTCCCCTCTTAAAGAGAATGGCGTCATTTCCTATTCATCTCTTACACAAGGCCAATACAATTTTTGTTGGAGTACATGAGTTTTATGAGACTTTGCACCGGTAAATAAAGTTTGCATTTAAATCCATAGAGTAAGCTTCCTGTTGGCTTAAAGGATTTTAGTGTAAACTGGTTAAACCGCACAAGCAATGTTGTAAAAACTGTAAATTAACTTTATGATGCAGTCTGGTGAAGTTGTGAAGGGCACCATTTTGGTGGCATGATTTTAAGTCATGTTTAAAGCATGACTTAGACTTAAATGCCTTTGAGGACTGAAAGACTTGACATTAAGCGGGATATTTTGTGAAAATTTTAAGTAACCTACCAAGTTTTAAATGCCACTTTCAATTTCTTGGTTCATTTTGCATTAGGAAATAAGGTTTCTGAAGTAAGCGCCTGGACTGACAAGTAAATCTCAAGAGGGGCATTTGTGTTGTGACAAGCAAATATTAAAATGGAGTAAGGATTTAGGTCACAGTGAGCAACCAGAAGTTTTGGTGTCAGTTAAGTCTATCTGATCTGCAATTTCATGCTCCTCCTACTATGCGTGCACACACCTTGGTCTGTAAGTCTCACAACCATGGGTTCTTTTTGGAATTGTAAAATATTGCAGAATCCTGACATGGAATGGCCACAGAATTTCATACATTTCTTTAGAAATCCTATGTAGGATCCTAGCAGAATTAAGTAAGAGAAATGTAAAGAGGGAACAAAATAGACTGAAAGGTAGATTTGAACCTTGGGCTGAAAGCATAGGTGAATCATGTTAATTTGCTTCCTTTGTCATTCAATATTATATGATCAAGTGCATTTATAAAACCCAGACCCTCCCCCCCCCAAAAAAAAAATTCCATGGAGGAAATTTCAGACAGGAATTGATAGCAATCACTTAAAATATCTAGATCGTAGGGAAAACATTAAATTTTTTGTCTGTTTTAAAATATAAAAATATCAAAAATCTAAAAAGGATCTGTGTGAATTCACAGAATAGATGAAACAATTATAAGGCCAATTAGAAGGGAAGAGATAAAAAGGGTAGGATGGTTTAAAACAAAAATCCCCCAAGAGGAATACTAACAATCTCTACAATGTCTCTTCTATTAGTTATTATTCAATAGTTAATGCAGATTCTTTCTGTACACCACCCGTGCCAGTTACTCATGTTTATTTTGGGAGTATTGACCATCAACTTCAACTTCTTTCTCTTTCAGAAATTATATCAGAGATGTCAAATAATTTATACTTCCATGCTTTCTCTCTATTGCTCCCTGGAAGGAATAAACAAGTCGAGCACACTAGCAAGGGATGTTTTTGTGATCTAGATATGGTATTCTGAAAATATGCTTGACAGTTCTAAGAGGACTTGTTCTATGTAACATGACTTTGGTTCCTGAGAAAAGCAAGATGCTTTTGAATTTCATGTAGCAAAGCCTTCTATCAAATACAGGGGACCATGTATACTACACATTAGTTAGAGAAAATGGCCAACACACTCAAGTGTTTTTTTAATGCCTTACCCATGGTACCATAAATTCATCCCATCTTTAGGTCTTTTTCACTTAGTTCACAACATTTTTTAAAACATGGGATCTATAAAAACATTGTTTAAAAAAATTGATTATATCCCCAATGCCAAGTATTCCCCACTTCCCCCATTCCCTGATGATTTTTAATTTATTCTAATGCAGCCAACCTCTAAGTAGCTGATCAGTCTTGTGGTTCATCTAGGTCCTTGACTTTGGTTGTCCTGATTGTGGACAGCTAATTAAAACATCCACCAGAAGATGAGCAGGAGCAGATCTTTTCATCTTTAGTCTACCAGGACATACTGTCAAATGATTACATAGGATAAAAGATGGGGTGAAGTGTTAAGATGGGGATCATGAATTACCTGTGGATTTCAATTCTCCACAATATCACTGCCTCTTATTTAAAACATAAAGCAATATGTTAATGGTGCTACAGAGAAAGCATACTTGGCGAGTTTGAGTTATCAGAGCTTGAAGGCTCCCTGAACAGTGCATATGGTTTCTAGGACGTTGCGGCAGAGGTCTATTTACTCGAATATAATTTAAAGCAAAGACTATGTGCTAATTTCCTAAGCGGCAAAAAGAGGGTGACCTATATATAGCCCCATGGAAAGAGTTGGTGATAACACAGTACCAAAAGGCTAGAAAATTTCAAGAACCTGGGTTGAAAAGTACAGTAAAACCTCCTCATCTCCTTAGAATGACAATGTTGGGGAAGTGGATCAACACCTGTATCCTAGAATTACAGCTTATTCAAGGCCTATGGCACCTGCAGTTTATGTTTCCTTGGACCTAATTTGACCCCTCATCTCCAAATCCACATAACAAGTTGTGTGCTAACAGTACTCTGCAATTTGAGTGGCTTAGCTAAAACTAGAGATGGTCTTGCTTTTTGAGTTAGAAGAAATAAATTTTTTATATTGAAAAGTCTAATTATGATGCTTGAAACCTCTTCTCTACTATAATGGGTAAAGAAAGGAAAGAATGTGGGTAGATCTGTCCTTGGAGGAAATGAAGGTGGCGTACACTGTAAGAACTAGATTGTGGTCTATCTTACCTTGCCTTGTTTCTATTAAGTTGCTAGGATAGGTAAGGAATGGGTTGGTGCTGGTGTGATGTACTCAGATTCTAAATTCTAAATGCCCTCCTTGACATTGTTGAAGTCATACAAATGGGTTGACAACCCATTTCACTTCTAAAAGCCAGTTTTACAATGATTGCCGACATCACAGATGCCAGTTGGTAGAAAACTCTTGACAATCTGGTACCAGAATCAGCTGGCCCTTTGGGGCATATCATTAAAAACCTGTTTCAAAACATGCACTTATACATTCTCTGCCTTCCCAGCTTTATTGTAGCTCATCTTTTTTCCAGTTACTCCTATCTAGATAAGCCCTCACTTTTATCCTTGCCACCCTGAATCTGAGAAGTTCATCAAGTGTTAACCCTTGTGTGGATTCAGAGGAGACAGTAGAGCCCTCTTTTATCTAAGAGAGGTTATACTTTTCTCTATTAACATATTTTACCTATATAAGTTTCAGTTTCTCCAACCAGGGAATCTCACTGATTGTAAATGAAGGCTGAATTCCCCAAATGCCACTGGGCAGAGAGCTGTCTCTTTCTTCCATTTAAAGCAAATGTCCCGAAGCTGACCATCACTTTATCTCTTGAGAGGAAGTGGACTAGAGTCCATTTTGCCTGCTGTAGTTAAAGTCGGCTTCATCGAGCTGGGATTCCGTAATGTTTGAGAGTTTCGTGTGTGTCCTCCCAATCTCTTCAAGGGCACAGGCCAGGGAGTCAAGGTCACCATCGTGCTGATGACGAGCTTCCCACAGGTTCAAAATGACAGCAGATGGGCTACTTTGTGTAGCAAAATAAGATAAATTCCTAGACAGAGAGAGTTAAATAAAAAGAATAACACAACAAAAATGAAAATAGAAATAAAGGAACAAATAAAAATCACTATAAGGGAATTAAAAATGAATTGTAATGGCTATTTTTACAGGAGTACAAAGCTCCTCTGAGGCAGGTCTGGGGCAGTTAAGTTTATATCCTAACACATATCCGATTGTATCCTGGGATGTTACCAATGACCTTCTTATCCTCTCATTCTTCTTTTAGTCCTCATCTTCCTTGAGTGAGTGAGTGAGAGAGAGAGAGAGAGAGAAAGTGTGTGTGTGTGTATTTCCCCTTTGGCCACCCCCCTTGAAAAGGTCTATTACATTAGCTTATGTGATGATGTAACTCATTCCTATTTTTTCAAGATAGCTGACCTCTCTTTGTGTCTTCCTTGGTGAACATAAAGGACTGTCAAGGTTATATCTTTGATTTCCTCTTTTCCTCCTCAGTGAGCTCATGTACTAAGTGGATTATTTATCAAGTGGACAGTGTCTAAATCTGCACCTCCAGTCTTTTAGGTTAATGTGAGCTGGTTACCGATCTCTAAATGACCTTGGAATTGCTCCAATTAGATATCTCTCTACAACTTCAAACTTATCAGAAATTTGTATAATCTCCATGCTTCCAATTGGCCCCCATTCTAACTATAACAAATATCTCAGTAATTACAATGATCTTTCCGGTCTCTCTCACTAGGACACTTATTTCTGAGTCTTCCCTTGATGTCAGGTTTCTTTCTGACATGCTCATCAGCTTCACCCTTCCTCTACATTCACACCACTTATATTTAATCTATGATCTAACATTTCATGGCCTGGATTACAGCAAAAGCCTTATAGCTCTTTTTCTCTCCAGACTCTCTAATATACCCTACATTTTATTTCTTCAAGTATCAGGTATCTACTCAACATGTTTTCAATGACTTCCTTGGTCTAGTCTCATTCTAGCTGAGCAGTATGTATATACTTAGTATTCTTTTGTCCTTTCAGTCATTAATGCTGACTTAGGTAAAACTTTGCTTCATGCTTTCAATCTATTCTGTTCATTCGGAAAGCCCACTTCCTCTCTTTACCCTCTGTTTATCAAGAGCCTATACTCTTACAATGCCTGGTTCAATTCTCATCTACTCTGTTTACGCTTAAATTTTCATGTGAGTAAAATGCTATAAATATCATGTGTTTGAGCTTGACCTTCTCAGTGTAATTACAGACAACTTAAGGGGAAGGATCATAGCTAATAATTTTCTGATTCTGCTACAGCACTTATCATAATACCATGACAGGTGTTTATTCGATAGCCATCGACTGAGTAATTGATTGCCATGAGCTTTTTTTTTTCTGATGACATGGGATCATCAGTGAAAACAAAAGGTAACCTTTTAGATAATAACTTGGCTATAATGAAGACTAAGACAACACAAAGGATTAAAGGTCACAGTTTTTCAATGGTAGTTTTTATAGCAGGGATAGAAATGTCACCTCTGGTAAAAATTCTCATGAGTTGAAAGGAGTTTCCAGAGTCAACTAAGAATTGACTATTTTGAGAGTGCTACTACTATAATCATGAAGTAGACTCATATAGCAGGAAAGTCCTTAGAAGAGAAGACAAGCTTTTAAGGGCATATTACCATTTACAAGCAAACACGCGCGTACGTACACACACACACACGCACACGCACGCACACACACACACACACGCACGCACACACACACACACACGGAGTAAGTTTTAGTGAATGAAGTGCTACTTTATTCAAAGATCTTTAAGGGACTGGTTACAGCTAGTTGGTTGCCAAGTAGTATAAATATCAGGTTACTGTACATACTTTGAGATCCAGTACATCTGAGTCTTTAATTGAGAAAGGGGAAAAGGCCAGCTTAAATGTGTTCTTTCTAGTGTGTTTTATTTTTATCTTCTCTTCCTGTCCTTCTTTCTTCACTCCGCCCCCATCCCCAATGGCCCTAGAATCTAATATCGTTATCATTTCTACACTAATAAAAATGGTAAAGCAACCCACTCTTGGGTAGT